TAAATCGATTGTTCGATGAGGAACATAAAATGATATTTTAATTATCTTAATTGTAAATTTTAAATATGAATTGTGATTAGACGGACAAAAACCGAATAATTAATGCCTTACTTTCAACTTATTTCTTTCCTTCCATTTTGTTTTTTGTAATATATTTTCCTTTTTTTAACAGAGTCCATTGAATGAACATCAACTTATGCAGGGTGGGGATCATCCACATTCCTGTGATATCTACAATAAAGCACTCAGTCAGAATACTGTAAAGAACTATCAAAGCATAGATACAGGAGAACGTCGATATGACTGTGATGTGTGTAGTAAATCATTCAATAGAAAGGACAACCTCAAGGTACATCAACGCATGCATAATGCTGAACGTCCATATGCCTGTGATGAGTGTAACAAATCATTCATTCAGAGAAGTCATCTTAAGGTGCATCAACGCATGCATAATGCTGAACGTCCATATGCCTGTGATGTGTGCAATAAATCATTCAGTAGAAAAGACAACCTCAAGACACATCAACGCATACATAGTGGAGAGCGTCCTTATAACTGTGATGTTTGTAATAAATCATTTGGTCACAAGAGTGTTCTGATAGAACATCTAAACCTACATAGTATAGAGCATAAATATTCCTGTCCTGTGTGCAATAAGTCATTCAGGCAGAAGAGTAATCTAAGGAAACATGAACATAAACACAGTGAAAAGCATACATAAACCTGTGATGTATGTGATAAATTATTCAGTCGGAAGGGTCATGTGAAGAGACATCTGTCCACACATAGTGGTGAGCGTCCACATGATTGCGATGTGTGTAATAAATGATTCAGTCAGAGGAGTAATCTGAAGAGACATCAACTCATACATAGTAGAGTGTGTCTATAGGCCTGAAATGCATGTAATAATTATTGAGTGCAAGGGGGATGTGAAGAAACATCAAGGCGTCCGTATTCCTGTGATGTGTGTAGTAAATTATTCATCACAAAGGGGGACTTTAAGAAACATAAACAGGTGCGCAGTATATAGTGTCCACAGTCATCTTATGTGGGTAATAAATCATTCATTCAGAGAGGTCATCTGAAGACACATCAAAGCATATTTCATTTACAGGATCCACATTTGTGATGTGTGGATTCACTAAGTAGAGTGATCTCATCATCACTGATCATGTAATATATTGGTATTCCACCTGTCAAACCTCAGCAGGACTGATAGGACGGGCGCCACTGGGTGGTGGAGTTGTACATTTGACCCTACAATAAAACACCCTTTGCTACGCTATTAATATAATTACAGAATATTAAGTACACAATGTCCGAACCAGGACCAACTCCTAACTCGTCACCAACCAACAGACAATAGATACTACTCACCCCAGCTGCCAATCACCGCAGTTCCCCATTGTGGCCACCAGTGACACAGGTTCCGCCTACACTCATTGCCAAAAAAATATACCTGACGGGAGATAATCTCGCACCTTATATAGGATTTCTAGGGACGCTGATGTTGATGTGCGCCCTGGGGACCGCCATGAAATATCGCTTCTGATCGGACAAAACCATGACTTGCCCATATATGGAAGACTGCTCCACATTCCATGACCATATATGGGAGATATCTGCATGCGTTGTTCACGCAGTTGGGGAGCGATCCTTACCATTGCGTCGACCCTAACATTCCAAAGGCCACCCCGTGCTTCACACCAGATGTGGGGCAACGACGTTTAATATTGACAACTTTAAAAACTTGGGGTCCACATAAGGGTGGGAAGGGGTGCCGGCACAACAACTTGCCCCCTCCTTAAATGAAAACCTAACTTCCACAAGTTAAGTTTTCATCCCCATGGGTACGGCAATTACAGGTAAGCGATAATCAGTGGTTACTGCGTTATTCTGTGCGTCAAATCTCCTTTTCAATGTTCATTCCAAGGTTTTACATTCCAATCCTCAAGTTAAATATCTACAACAAATGTGCATCTTATTCACCGATAGTCGGGCAAATTACATGGTCTGGTTCGGCAATTATCAACTACCACACTACAAGACATCAAATTGTAAAATAAAAATGGAACTTTCACCCATCCAAATGGTCATTGTAGGTTACAATGAATTTTCACAGGTAAGCAAATTATGCAACAATGTTCTACTTTAGTCTCTGTTTCTCCGGATAATGTTATATGTAGATATATTGGATTGTCTTCTTATCACTGGAACTTCCCGGGCTCGTTGAGGCTGCCTCTGATACAGTTACTGTCTCCATTCTGTTGGGAGCAGCAGGGCTGGACGTCGTAACTCCCGCCTCGACGCTGGCAAGTTCAATTCAGCAAGGCCCATCTGATGTCTAAGAGCCTAGGGTCTGGGTTCCGGTCGTAGGCTGGCGGGGCATTCCCTGGCAAATACCATGGCCTCCAGCAGATCCCTCAGCGGTTGCGGGGTAGAAGGTGCTCTCCTTCGGGCGACGGCCTCCAAGGCCTCAAGCGTCCTCGTCTGCTCGTCGTTCTCCTGGGTAGAGACTGACTCTGGCAGATGAGGCTGCACTATGCGACTACTAGTGAGAGAAAAGTTCGTTAATCCATCAAATATGGGTTGCAGCATGAAGGCCTCGGAATAAAACTGGCAGTTCGTGTCCTCATATAGGACACCAGTCCCTACTAATTCATTATTGGAACTTTTAGTGGTGCCATTTCTTTTACATGTTCGGGTGACTACAGTGGACGAGAGCAGACTGTACAGCAAGGTCCTGCCTTGTGAATGAAAGGAAGGGTAGCTTCAAATATGGTAGTTAAGCCATGTTTACATAATTAAAAGTCTGCCGTCGTCCGTTCTCGGTGACTGCAATGTAAAAAGTCTCTGGTTCCATTTGTATAAATCATTTCAATATTTTTTAGTACGTGGGTAGGGGGAATACTCCTACACAAGGTCATAACTCGAGCTACTGTGGCTAGTCCAAAGGTGTTCTGTGAAGCAATATCATCCACCCTTTTTAAATAGGTTACTTGTTTTGTTCTGTTTTTCTTTTACGACGTGAACAGCTTCACCATCTTGCCTTTATATTCCCTTTATAATATTATGAATGTCTTGCACCTGTTCTGCTGTTGCGACCCCGAACAAAACTTGAGGATTTCGCCTCCAAAATTTATCAAGCCCCTCTTTCGACGGTGGTTCAATGCAACATCGCTTGGTGTGGGCAGTGGCCTTTCAAAAGTGTTCAATTTTCTGTTTACTCTAGCTTCTCCCAATCGATCAAATTTCTCACATTTACTCCTTGGCATGCCCATCAACCCTCTGTTTGCAATCTTGTCTCCTCCAAGCATTCCACATGCCCATCCCATCGGAGTCTCCTAGGTTTCACTAACCTCACTGTGCTAGCTGGCCTGTGCAATTCTCATCGCTCCTAGTTGTGTAATATTCTAAATTCCTCAGTTATTTCATCCTTCCTATGTCCAAGTATCCTTCACCGATAGTTATTTTGAAATTGAGATCAAACCCATGATATTTTACTCGCCGAAAACGCTAACCTCTGGAATATCCTTTCGACTGGAAATGGCTCTTTTGTGACTGTATGTTACACGTTTATTTCGCACCTGTTAGCAGAGGGCGCCATGTGAAAATGAGGTCCAGGTTAGGTTGCATGTCGGTATTTCCGAAAAGTGACGCATAATAAGATTGGGATATGTGAGTCGCTTTCGCAGTGGTCTAGAACGGCAGATAACCGTCCCATGTACTGGCTACTCTCTGGCAAGAAATCGGCCGAGAGAATAAAAGCGTAGACGTTTTGTTTACGACGGTACACAACGAATCCAACGAGACCAAGTGCCATCTGTTTCGCGTCAGTTACACATGCCACTGACGTGGAGAAGGAAACCTGGAAAAGCCGTTGTCACTTATCTCCTTCCGGGGAGTGGTCGTAAATTGTATCGTGGGAGATCAATGCCCTCCCCATGTGAGTTTGTGACTTCATCACTAACAACAGATGGACAGAGCGGGGTGTCGAGCTCTGCTCCCTCAGGGTCGAGTTCCACCTCGGCCTCTCCTTCTGTGGCGTCCGCTGGGACATCGCTCTCTAACTCTGGTTGCTCCTGGGCGTCCCTACTTCGCAACAAATACCTAGGGTTTACCTGGTCTCGCTCGTCTGTCTCTGGTCTGCGACTGTCCTGTACCTGGGTTCGATAATATCGGCTTAGTTCCCACTCGGGGTCCCGTCCTCCATCTCCATCCGAGTCCGTATCTCCACGATCACTACCGTGGGCATGAATCAGGGGTGAATTGAGGTGGAGGTCGTTCCGCCTTGAGCCTAGACCCCCACAAAATCCTTTCATTTTATTTACGTTTACCACAATTTCTCTCCCCTCAGGAAG